CACCGGCTGGCTGGTCGATCCAGTTTTACACCAGACACAGAGATGGCTTGTTAAACAAGGTTTCCTTCAAGAAGAGATGGCCGCAGGGCAGAGCAGATGTACGCAGGGCCCAGAAGGGTGGTGCGCTAAGACTGTACCACGTCCGCCCGTCAGGAGGGGTGGGTGGACCACGGAGTGTCTCAGCTACTTGCCCACACGTCGTGGGCCGAAGGGGGATGTTCGAGCAGGAGATCCAAGGGGACAATTCCCCTCTCTCCAAGTGGTACAGTCCTAGCAAAACGGCATCAAGGCTCTTCCTTCTCAAGTAGAACGCATGTACCCCCCCCTCCCAAAAAAGGTAAGGCATTGTAGATTTACATATTTGGTGACAAGGAAAGCTTCTTGTAACAGGTTTCTTTTCAGCAGGAACATCTGGAGAACATTGTGAGAAAACTGTTCAACTGCTAATGCTTCCAATTTGTATTTCGCCTGACAGCTGCCTTGGAATTGCTGCTCTGTGCAATTCCCCAAAATGTTTTGCTGTGGTCTCTTTCTGGCTCCCCCCACGCCCCGGGGCCCTCTTCCTCCTCCCTTGCTCCCAGGCCTGAGATAACTTAACTGGTGTTTGCCAATTCTAAAAAGATGCAGGTCCTTGATGTTAGCCAACCTCATGGAAGGAAGGAGTCCACCCTACGATGGTTCAGGGCCCGTATTTTGCATTCAATTTCTGCCATCCTGCTCTCTGCCCTCAAAAAGCAAGGCCTCAATTGTCATCTCCTCTGAAGTCCTGCTCAGGAGGAATTTTTAGAAACCGAGGGTTTGCCTGGTCCCCTAGGGTGAGTAAAGGCCTTCCAGGTAAACAGCCGACAGACTTCCTTAAATTGGACAAAATAGAAAAAAGCATTTTCTCGTTGTTTTTTTTAAATGACCAGTTCCTTCAACAAGGGGGTAGGAAGTAAAGCAAAGAGGTGTGGGAAGGTCTCCAGACTAAGATATGAAGTGAAACGTTCTCAAGCTGTGAGTCACGCCATCGGCAGCTATGGGTTTGCTAGGGTCTATTTTGTGCTGAACCCTGATGCGCTTGGCTGAGGTTGGGCGTGGCGTGCTGTGTGTGGATCCAGACATTGTTTGTAAATTACGGTTTGTGGTTTAGCATATTCTGTAAGCCTACCCAATGGTGGTTGAATGAAACCAACCATGGCTTGGCCCAGTGACCGAAGCCTACCCAGTGATGGTTTAATTCAACCAACCATGGCTTGGCCCAGTGACCGAAGCCTACCCAGTGATGGTTTAATTCAACCAACCATGGCTTGGCCCAGTAATGGAAGCCTACCCAATGGTGGTTGAATGAAACCAACCATGGCTTGGCTCAGTGATGGAAGCCTACCCAATGGTGGTTTCATTCAACCATGGCTTGGCCCAGTGACGGAAGCCTACCCAATGGTGGTTTCATTCAACCAACCATGGCTTGGCCCAGTGATGGAAGCCTACCCAATGGTGGTTTCATTCAACCAACCATGGCTTGGCCCAGTGATGGAAGCCTACCCAATGGTGGTTTCATTCAACCAACCATGGCTTGGCCCAGTGATGGAAGCCTACCCAATGGTGGTTTCATTCAACCAACCATGGCTTGGCCCAGTGATGGAAGCCTACCCAATGGTGGTTTCATTCAACCAACCATGGCTTGGCCCAGTGATGGAAGCCTACCCAATGGTGGTTTCATTCAACCAACCATGGCTTGGCCCAGTGATGGAAGCCTACCCAATGGTGGTTTCATTCAACCAATCATGGCTTGGCCCAACGAATGAAACCAATTTTTGTGTGAAAAACTAAGCTCTGAATTGGCTGGAGAGAAAGCAGGGGGTGGGATGAAAAGGGAGGGAGCGCTGACGAGAAAAAGAAGCACCATTTAACTCACCACATTCATGTCCTTTAGGCGTAAAGCTGGGAAGACAGAAATCACATTCATTGAAGAGGTAATCCCCTCTCCCCCAGGCCCTGGGTTAGGGAGCATGGCGGGCCCCTTTGGGGAATAGATGGGGTTGGTTACAATTTTACAGCTGTCCCTATTCATCTTCCATTCACGCTGCTGGTTATAAGGTTTTCAGTTGTTTTTAATAGGGTACATCACCCAGAGCCGTCCTGAAATAGAGACGCTTAGAAGTTGGACAATCAACAAGGGTCTTGTCGCTGTCCGAAGTGCTGAAAAGGAGCGACTGACATGCCATCTAAGGCACAATGTGGCCACCCTTATTTCCTTCTGTTTTATTCTCCTCTTTGGGGAAGGGTTCAGACACCTGCTCTTTCTGCTTTCCCCCCAAAAAGACTGGTGTGCCATGGCCAAAAATTAGAGGCGGGATTGGCTGGGTTTGACTCTCTCCTCTACTGCAATTTCCAGGTCACCCAGCAGCTTTGCTCTCTCTTTCCCCCCCGTTCTTCCCCTCCAAACTTTCCAAAATGCAAACCCTTTAAAACAGAGCAAGGAGCTGGAGGGAGGAACGCTCTCTGGAGAAGACAGGCAGAGCCACCCATATTTTAGGTTTGAAATGAAAACAGTCATCGCTGCAAAAAAAAAAAAAAAGGAGGGATTATACAGCAGGGCTCTACCTAACGCTTCTAAATACGGCACCTCCAGCCAAGAGGGGTAGTATTTCTGCCAATTATCACTGTAACCCAAAATAGCCAATCCGTGCCATATTTATGGCCCAGGACAGGGACAAAAGACCCAAACGGCCTCGGGTTTTCTCGGGAAGGAGAAAACCCCCGTTTCTGAGCGGAGAGCTGGGGCGTGGAATGATTAAGCATCTATTTCTGGAAGTTGGCATCCAGCTGGGGGAACCAAGGCTAAAGTTGGTGCGGGCTTCGCCCAGCTTGGGAGAAATCTCAGCGGGTGCCCCTTCCAACCTCCCAAACGTGTGGGGCCAAACGATGCCACGCTGGGGAGCGGGGAGAGGAATTGCAACCGTGTCATCGGCATAGCAAATTGGGGCGGTGGGGTGGGGGGGAGAAGGGTGGATGTCAAAAGTATTTTTCCTGAAAGCTGCCCCAGTTTCTAAGCAACTCAAATTGCGTGGAACATGCCACCTACTACCGCTAGAAAACTGGCACTCTCCCCTCCTCGCTTCATCCTTTCTGTTTTTAAGCTGTTTGGAACGCCACACAGCTGCTGCTGGAAGGGAAGACGGGAGCAAAAAGAGGGGGGGGGAACGCTTTTTAAAAACGCACCGAAAAGAAAAGCAATGAGAGATTACAGGCTCTGGGATTTACTAGCAGTGACTTGCTGGCTTTTTGGCTCACAATGAATTTGCACAGTAGGGTGGCACGTTAATTAATAGCGCCCGGGCAATTACGCCGCTGCTTTGCTAGTTCAAAAAGACATTAAATGTCACCTGTTTGGCTTTTATTATCAGGAGAAACCAGTGTTCCTTGCAGGGTTTGCCAACTGCGCCAAGGACCCTCCCCCGGCTGAGCGCAGAGCCCTTGGACTTCCGCCAGCTCAAATATATTCCGTTTCTCTCGCTTGCTCTCTTTTTAATTAAAAAAATAATAATAATAATAATAGGGAGGAGGGGAGGAAGACAAGGATTAGATTGGTCAAAGACAGCCGGGTTCAGAAAAGAGCAGCGGTTGGAAGGAGCCGGGCTCCCTCGTTTTGCAAAACCAAACCTGTCCTCTTTTCTCCTGGCGGGGTAGTAACAGAGAAAGGGGAAGATGAAAACTGCAGTCGATATTGCAAAGGACGGCCATAAGCTAACTGCACAGGCTTTCTCTCGCAGGCGGGCAGAGTTTGCACGTTAACTCCCGGTAATGTGATGGCGGGGGGGATCCTGGGTACCCTGTTTTGACCTAAATGTCTGCCGTCGGCACAGAGATGGCGGACTTTGGGCGCATTTTCCGATTCAGACGTTGCAATCCCGAAGGCGCATTCCAGAGCCATTTCGAAGACGGTTCTCAGCCTTCCCGTGGGCCACGTACCCGTCACCGTCATCCACCGCCAAGGCCAGCTGCCTCCACAACGGATAGGTTTTATCCTCTGCCCTTCTCTCCCCAAACGCAGGACTCCAGGGGAAGCAGCATGGGGGGGACGGGGGGCAGGACCCAGATGAACGTCATGGAAAGGAGCCAAAACTTTGCAGAGGGAACCGATCCTTGAAAATCCAGGCAGCCTCTAATCTAGACTCCAGGGCCTCTTTGAGGAACCCCAACTGAGAAAGACGGTGAAGACGGTGAGCGATGCTAGGCTGTGGGGTTTCCAAGCGGCAGGCCTCGGGGGCCCATTTTCTTGCAAGTTCTCTCAGCCCAGGGAATCCAAAGGAATTCTGAATTCTTTGCTGGAACGTTCCTTCAGGGAAACACCGGGCACCCTCTGACTTTCGCCAGGAGGGATCTCACGCCCGACTCTTTGCCATCCTGTGCAGCCAACCCTGTGGACACCCCCCGGGAGCCCCTTCCATGATGCAGGATACTGGGTCCCCCCCCACTCACCCCATCCCACAGTCGAACTTCGCTCAGAAGTATCCAGTGCCACTTGTCGCTCTAGGAGAACACGCCGCGGCCACGTTGGACGGATCCCCAGGAAGGCCATCTCAGCGGTAGGGCATCACGTGGAAGGGGCCGGGGCGATGTCCCGCTCCCGGGCAGATGGAAAATGCAGAAATGATGAGCAACGGGAAGGGACGCTGCATCGCGTTCAGTTTGGCACCCAGCTTCCCTGCGGTGACATCCTCCGGCAAGAGGAAGGAAGGAAGGAAGGAAGGAAGGAAGGAAGGAAGGAAGGAAGGAAGGAAGG